ATTCAGCACTTGTGCACTATGGAGCACAATGTCTTTCAACATTACACTTATAGTACTTAACCGGAGCAGGAGCTCCTCCCCCACTCGACTTTTTGTCATAACCAACTTTTCGTTTCCCCTTATAATCAGGAGTCACATACGGCTTCCCTATGAATTGACCCTTTCCTTTCTTCTCATTTAAACTCTTGTAGTGATTAGACCGAGCTCTACTATCTTTATCATAGATCCTACTCTTATTAACCAGCTCAGAAAATTTCCTAATCTCTTGATAACCAATGGCTTGCTTGATCTCAAGCCTCAAACCAACCACAAACTTAAGGCATTTGGATCTCTCAACATTAGTAGTGTTATAATGAGGACAAAACATAATCAGCCCTTCAAACCTTGCAGCATACTCTTCCATAATTGAGTTACCCAACTTCAACTCAAGAAACTAAATTTCCTTCTTCCCACGCACATATTCTAGAAAATACTTCTCCATAAACGCTTCTCTGAAAATAGCCCAAGTAACCTCAACTTGCTCTTCCTCAAACCTATGACTAGTGTTACCCCACTAGTCCTCAGCTTCCTTTTCAAGCATATGGGTGTCAAACTACACCTTCTGCACGTCCAATTAGTTCATGACTCGAAAGATCTTCTCAATCACTTTCAGCCATATTTGTGCCTTGTCAGGTTCATGCGCTCCCTCAAAGGTTGGCGGATTGTTCCTTTGAAACTTCCCCAAAGTATGGAACTCATCATCATTATTGTTCACAGCATTCACGTTGACTTGTGGATTCTGCCCAATTGCTTCAGCCAGCATTTCCAAAGCTTCAGCAATCGCATCGTCATTTCTTCCTCCAACCATTATTCTGAGAATTTCAAGCAACAAATTCTCGCTAGAACAAACAGTACTGATATTGTCACATACACAAATTGAGTATAAAAGGGAATAAGCACATCAATAACTTGGTCAATTGACCGACCATGCTCTGATACCACTAATGTAACACGCTTTAAACCCCGCAAAATATTACGTCATAAATCAGAGTAATTATAACATGAATTTCAAAACAAGGGTGTCACACATACTCCATACATCACAAATACCTATCATGCTCAATAATACTTATTTAAATTCATGCCTTTCATATCACTTTCTCATAAGCATGTAGCAGCAAATTTCACTTTCATTCAAATGAATATAATATTCAAGTCTCCAAAATAAAATTCATTTATTTGATTAACTTAGTCATAAAAGCCATTCACCCCATAATTTAAATTAGAATAACATAACAAAGTATAGTACACAAAGTATCTCTCCAAAAACATGAATCCAAATGTTTCCGAGTGTTACATGACCAGAGCATGACTCAATCCAAAATAAATACGGAAATAAAATAAGTTACTCCATCATCTACTCTCTTGCAAGAAGAAACTCTAATCTTCAGTACCTGAGTGATGTCGTACAAAACATCATTCCAACAGAAGGGTGGGAATTCACATAATTATCGAAATCTTATAACAATGTATAACACATAGCATACAAATAATATTCTCACACTTCATATACTTTTAAAACATAATATCACTCAAATAATTATACTATTCATAAGTATTCATTCATCATTCACAAATTCACAAAATACAACAATCCCACCGAGTTCACATAATTCCATATTGTAAGCATACATACATATGACTCAATGCAACTCAAATGCAATACTCATGCATGTGGTATCAATCACAATTATTTTTATTCGGTTTTTATTTTAAACTGGGTTTGTTCTCTAGACGAATAACACACAAAAGCCCTTCTTCTAAGCTTTCAAAACCCTCTCTAGGTTTGGGACAAGTCACTAGCTCCCTCGGAACTAATAAGCATGTCTCTTGACAACAAATGATGCATATGCCTTTACAACAACCATATGCAATTAAGATCATTCTCTCATCTTTACATCCATGCATATCTTCAACAATTCATCACACTTGAATGACCACTCATTTGCACATACGTACACATACTCATGAATTATTCACACACAATTCATATTCATAATATAACAACACTAAACCATCATAATAACACATAGTAAACAATGCACAACAATGTCATTACGATTCAACACCCAATCATAAACATACATACAACACATAAACAAAGTTTTATATTGTCACACACTAAAACATGCTTATACAAGCACACACAAGTATTCATTTAATTATCCATAATTAATTTCACAACCTGCAACAAACACTACAACAATTCATGAATAGAACATATATTTAATTTACTTCCCAAACATATTAGACATAAAAATACTGGGTAACTAATCCTCTTATATATACTATGTTATAGTTCCATTCATTAGCTTTCCGACACTTCAAACAGTTCAGCATTTGGATATACGTTTAAAAAGTCATGATCAAAATCGTGTTGGAAACCAAATCTACCTGGCCGCGACAACCTCTGCGACGTATGCCACCACCATGTCACGCCGTTCTCCATGGCCCCAATGACGTCCGCCATGAACCTAAAACCAGGAAAATTTCCTGCGCAAACAACATTCTCCATGTGCGATTCTTCCACCCTAAAACACCTTTTAACATATGAATTACTACGATTTAAGGCATTATAACTTATATCTAACATGTATTTTCAAATAGAAACATCACAATACCATTACTCAGCATATTCAAGGATTCATCATCAAAACCTAACAGTTACAAAACCATATAAATTTAGGAATTCTATTCTAAACATGTTTTTACCCATCATACATTATCATACATCCAAATAAACATGTAAAAACCCACCCTTACCTTGATTGTCGATAAGCTCTTCGAATCTTCTCCTTAGGGTTCTCTTCTCCTCTTTCTCTTTTTCTCTACTTTAGTCTATTTTCTCCTTATTCTCCTACTAACTTCTATCTTCCTTTTTTTATTAAACCCTTAACAATACACTAACTCTAGTAATCACTATTGGGCTTACTAACATACCTCACATTTACTCTTCACATTTCATCATTAGGTCCAATTACTTATTATTCTACTATTTTCTACAATTCTTACTTAATAAAATAATTCCATCATAAACCAATATTATTACTAATTATAATTCTACAGTTCGACATATTTAACCCAAGCAACTCATCACATAGTACACTTATCAAATAATTTAAATAAAACTAATTACTCACAAATATCAAACAATTAATTAATATAAAATATAACTAATTACTAAAATTGAGGTGTTACACGACGCGCCTTTCCCCATACATTTTCCAGAAATACCTTTTTTCCTTCCTTCCTTCGTCTCTTATCTCCCCCGGCGAGGTGTGCCTTCGCCATCTTTTCGCCCGGCAAAACAGGAGCAAAAATCCTTCCCCATACATTTTTTAAGAGCACCCAAAATTACATGCTTTTCTCACCCAGAGCTCGCCCGACGCTGCTCAGACGAAGCACTTTCACCCGGCGTTGCCTGTGGCTCGTCCGACGACGCGTGCAAAATAGAGATTTCATCACAATGACAGTCCAAATTCCATACTTTTTAACAGGGTTTCATCACATAATAACAACACATAATTATAGGCACCATATTTATCAATTCATGGCATAACACAAAATATTTTCATCATAGGTTCATCACATTCATCATGTTATCAAATTCATCACAAACCCCAAACAACTCCCTACATACATCTAAACTCATATCAATTATAATGACAACTCACCCCTTTACCTAAGATTCCTAGCGTGTGATCTTCTTCTCCGCGTTTATACGGGGATTCTTCAAGTTCTTCATGCCCTAGCTCTTCTACGCTCTTCCAATTCTTTCACGATCGTACACACTTACACACTTTTATCTCTTTTCCTTGTTTAATCCTTAGGCCCTAATATGAACTTCTCATCATGCCCTCACTTAATCTTTCACCAATTACAACCTTGTCCTTATTTTTTCTACACTAATATTTACCTCAATTTCAATTATTAAAATAATTTTAACTAATTATCTTAAATGACTTAATCCTAAATTCTGCTCAACATCACCTTAATTCAACAATACCCCACAATATAACATCACATCACACATCATACTCAACAAAACATCATATATTCACCAATAATTCATAAATATTCCTAATAAATCAATTAAATAAATAATCCTAAAAATCAGGGTGTTACATTTTTTTTTTAAATTTGCTCGTTAATAAGTCATATTTAAGATTTATTAAAGTTTTAACAGCTATAAATATTATTCTATCTCATTTGTTGTTAAAACAAGTTACAGAGGTGCATAAAGAACAATTCTAGTGAGAAGTAAATGAAGGTGCATAAAGATCAATCCTAGTAAGAAATAAATGATGAAATTTTTTAATATTATATTAGATAAATATGGTTTAATTTGAAAACTTTAATTTTTTTTATATTATAATTTTATAAAACTATTTTTGAAATATAGTGAATAAGAAAAATATAATGAATAAGAAAGTTACTTATAGATTCAGATAAAAATAAATACTTATTAACCGATTTAGTTATTAATGAATTGATTATCTATTCATATAATTCAGTAATAATTAAATAATTAGTAATTGATTATGTTACTTTTGGATTAGATTATAATCCGGTCATTATTCAAAATTTAAAATTAATTTAAATATTTTAATTCAATTCTAATTTTTTAATTATCAAAATACAAAATTATTTTTAAAACTGGATTTAAAAAAAAAAACCAATATAACTAAATTTATAACTAAAATTTTAATTGAAATGTGATTATGATTATAAATCTAAACCATTTAAATAATTTGAAAATGATTATAATTTGATTTCTAAAAATAACTAACTTTTCACACCCCTAACTGCAGAAACACAATTTTCAATGGTCAAATTCTATATATAGAACAGAAGCAACGATAAATTTGAAGGATAAAATTACATTACCATAATTCAAAAGCACAAATTTCTAACATTGAACAACATATTTAAGAAGAAAAAATTGTATCATTTTTATAAACATGAAAACAAAGCATAAGAAAAATCATTCAGTTACTAATACCATCACCAAAATAGCGAAACCTGCGGTGTATCTTACGCTCCTCTTGCTAACTTACACGTTAGGATACTTATCCCCATCTACCTCTCCCGATCTCGACTCGTTCCGAGTCAAAACTCAGTGCGCTAATCCAATCCCTCAGGAAAGCATTCGCGAGACACTTATCAACCGTTTCTTCAACGGAATTTCCCCGTTTATCAACTTTCCGCCACCGCATGCAGCAGAAAAGCTTCGTCGAAGTAAGGAGATCACAGGTTGGGGTTCAAACGCCCCCGTTTTTGAGAGACTCATCCGTAAGGTAAAGCCTCAGATCATCGTTGAAGTTGGAACGTTCCTCGGTGCGTCGGCGGTTCACATGGCTGAGTTAACTCAGCGAATCGGTTTAAAAACTCATATTCTCTGTATTGATGATTTTCGTGGTTGGGCCGGGTTTAGAGACGATTTCAAAAACATGGAAATTTTAAACGGCGACGTTTTTCTTTATTTTCAGTTTCTTCAGAATGTTGTTACTTTTAACGGAACCGGGTCGATTTTACCCGTACCGTTTTCAAGCGTTTCGGCGTTAACAAAGCTTTGTGAATTGGGTGTTAGGCCTGATTTGGTAGAGATTGATGCGGGTCATGATTTTTTATCGGCCTGGTCTGATATCAATTGGGGTTTTCGGATCCTCCGACCCGGTGGGGTTATTTTCGGACATGATTATTTCAATGGTGCCGATAATAGAGGAGTTAGAAGAGCGGTTAAATTATTTGCTAGGATTCATAATTTTAATGTAAAAATTGATGGAGGACATTGGGTCATATACTCCACTCCGCTTATGCAATGACCTAACCACACATTACATCTATACCTATATATAGAGTTTTGAGTTGTGGCTTATTTTTCTTCTAAATTTACCCTTTAAATAATTCTATTTACTAAAAAAAGATCATCATATTAATATTAACTACCCACACAGTAAAAAGAGGAGAGGCACACATCCATATAAAGTGAACTATAACTGGATGGTTTTCTCTGCGGGACAGTTTCATTCGTATGTTAGCGGCAACAATTTTCTTACGAACATGAACATTTATACTATCAAGCACTATAAACTTGAACAAAGACCTTCCTTCTTTCATGAATCTGGTAAATGAATTCTCTCCCATACATCATTTCATATTAATATTTACATACTAACGCTTAATTGTATTGATTTGATCATTATCTTTTTGTGTATATGTAAATTCATGTGTAATTTAACATCAGCAAAGATTATTACGGATGCACATTTCAAAAGCATGATTTCTTCATTGCTAGCAACCAAATGATCATCTTCTTTATACAAAGTTCACTCTTACTAATTTCACAACCATCTTTACCTATAATGTTTACATTATACCTATAAATAGTCTCTCTTTTTTTTTTTATATTTTTTTTTATCCTCCAACCTTTTTAAAAAGAATGAATGATTTAAATTGTTTATATCCTTTTATTACTTTCCTCTCATCATTTATTCTCTTTAGAAAAAATGGTGTCTTAAGATTTACTACAATGCTGTTGTGGATCAGTGGTGTATCCTTAAATTGAATTTGAGTTGTTTTGGTATATTTTACAAAGTATTATGTTAGGGAGATGTGAAGTAGTTGTTTTAACTTTTTGATTTGTTAATATGAAATAAAAAATGTGAAGCTAATATTTGATTTGACAAATCCATATTATTTAAGCTAATTAATGTAAAAAAAATTGATCTAATCTTTTTGCAGAACTACTCCTCTAATTTTTAAAATGATTTTGAAGCATCTCTGATGCATCTCCGCTCTTTATATGCTATGCTACTTGAAGATCTCTTTCATAATTGCAATTGTACTTTAAATTAGAAGACTGTGTCTTAATTAGTTGTTTCATGTTTGTGTTTGCTCTCATATAGTCCTTTTAAGCATGAAAAATAGGAAATAATCATGTGAATAATAAATAGCTCCTTGCATGCTTGGGCTTTATCTTTTGAGAGAGAGAGAGAGGGGGAAGGAGAAAGAGAGAGAGGGAGGGGGCTCAAAAGAGGGAAGGAGAAAGAGAGAGAGGGAGGGGGAGGGAGGAGATGAATTCAGACAGAGGGAGCGAGACAATATAATTTTATTTTAAATTTTAATAATTGTGTGTAAATAATATTATATTTTAAGAGACATGTATGAAACATCTCATAAATCATTCACACGTTAATGCAATAAAAAAAAGCAGAAAGATGGATACGGGAGTACTCGTATGAAAAACTTTAAAAAATAAAAATTTCTTACAAAAGAATAGTATAAAATTGTCAAATTGATATTGTTGAATGACTTGATGAAACTCATATCAATAGAAAAAAATTTCTAGGATATATATATACTAATAGATGAATGCATTTGATTTCAATCTAAAAGAAAATAAGTAACCTATTTAATACAAAAAAAATAACATGGAGGATCAAACATAGAACTTATTTAGAGAAATTTTTTATGGAGAATCAATTGATTGGTTAATATTATTTTTAAATGATTTAAGCTAATTAATGTAAAAAAGTTAATTAATCAATATTATTTAAGCTAATTAATGTAGAGAGGGTATTAGAATTTCTCCATAAAAAATATTATATTATATCAATTATTATTAATTTATGTATTTTTTTACTCTGAATGAATTCTAACGTGAGAGTCTTACATATTTATATTATTACGGAAAAAATTTACTGGAAAGAAGAAGGTTCTTCGAATAAAGATTTTATTTGTTAAAAAACTTCATTAATTACGCAATATTATAATACTTTGTATGATTCTGTTCTTAAATATAATTTGTATTTTCTTGGTTTGTCATTTTCAAAATGTAATATTATTATTAGCATGCTTAAACAACACACTTTTATTTCTATCTTAATTATATTTAATTGTAATAATTGTGGTTAAATAGAATTATTTGTTAATAATTTTTAATTTTAAAATACATATTTATTACTTTATTTTTAGTTATACTAATTTGTCTAACTAATATTATTTGTAATGCGATGCACATTAAAATCTCATAAAAATTCAAATATATATATTTTTTTTCAATCTGTACAATAATAAAAGCGAACAACCAGATATGAGAGTGTCTTTTTGAACGTCAGTTGTAATAATAATAATGTATAAGGTTGATATTAACATGAACATAATATATAAATTGACATGAACATAATATATAAGTTGATATTACCCTATAAACAAGGTTAAAAAAATCTAAATTACCCCAATTCCTATACTTTATTCGAACAAATATCATAGTATGAACATCCACCAATATTAAATTTGAGCTCTCAAGTGAATTTTCTAATTTAAATTGTAAAAATAAAATATTACTAATTTTATAATTAATCTTAACAAATATAAACTAATCTTAATTCAATATTAAATTAAAATATAATTATTAAATTAAAAATATTAACATTAATTGATAGTTTTTAAAAAAAAAACTTCGAATTTAATTTTGTAGAAGAAAATTATGATATTCATTTGAAAGAAGTGAAGAGCTTGGTACACAAATAGTTAAGTTAAGATTTTCTTGCTTTATTGCTGTAATGAATTTTGTACTATCAATAATTTCAAATTATTCAAGTTAAATATATATTAAAAATATTAATGTTATTATTATTATTTTTATTATTATTATTATTATTTTAATTTTTAAAAATTTATTATCTGATATGACTTACTAATCCAAAAAAAAAAAAAATCATATAGTTTATTTGCATATTTATTATATAAGCAAGATTTTCTCTTTACTATTTTTATTGATAGGTTACCGACACATATTATGTATGGAGTATAGTACTATTTTAATATGTCTTATGATTCTTTTATTTTTTATTGAAAGTTTACACCTATTTGTCGTAAGATGTGTTTGGATATATTTGGAGAACACGCGAGTTATTGTAAGAAGCTTTCAGGTTTCTAATTCAGTAGAAACTCTTTAAATTAATATTCAGTAAATTAATAAATTCTCTAAAATAATAAATTTGTCTGGTCCCGATTTGGGCCAATGTAAAAAATTGAAAAACTCGATAAAATAATAAGATAATAATTTTTCGGGAGATCCCTTTATAATTTTCGGTCCCAAGAAAATCATAAATTAATAATTCATAGAAATTGAAAAAAAAATATATTACACTCTATTGAAATATGATTCAATAGTTGATTGTTTTCCTTTAAAGTTCAAGTCTATTTAGAGCTCATCTCTAACTTTTCTTATTGCATCCAATAGCTCAGATGTTATATTTTTGTATTGTATCATAAAGTTGTGAAGAGTGTTCGACGCCATAAGTGTTTCCTTTCGCGTAACAGGATTCAAAGACACTGTATCATCTTCGCCGTCATCCTCTGCATTGTTCTTAATGATAGTACCCATATTATCTTCTAAACTTTGAACCTCCGAGCATGCTTCATTTTCACCTGGGTAGTTCATTAGATTGTCGATATCCATCTTATTACGATAGTCACATTGATTGATCATAGTTTCGAGGTCTTGAGTTTCTTCATCAAAAGTGGATTCATCCAAATTTCTTGCAACGTCACTAGCTGATTGAATTTTACAATGTCAGAAGCAATTCGCTATTGTTTCTTTTCGAACATCTATCGTCCAAGCTGGGATTGCCAAATTGGTAGCATCAAGGACATTATCTTCCTTGGATCAAATTATCCCACCTCATAACCTTCCAATATTTTGCGGTAAAACCTTCTACGGTAATGCATCTTGAAAGCTCTTATTATCCCAGCATCACAAGGTTGAATCTTTGATGTCATGTTGGGTGGCAAGAAGAACAATCCAACGTTTCTTAGCCCTTCAATATTTCTTGGATGTGCTGGACAATTATCCACCACAAGTAGAACTCTTCTACCATGCATCATTTGGTCAAATAGACAAACATATTCATCAAAAAGCACACTAGTCATCCATGCTTTTTTGTTAGCTCGATACTGACAATCCAAGCTATTCATGTTGACATTCTTGAAGCAACGAGGCTTTGCATATTTCCCAATAATCAATAGAGGGATTTTTTCAGAGCCATCTTCATTGCAACAAATAACTACCGCCAACCTTTCTTTATCTTGTTTTCTTCCTTCAAGTTGTTTTGTTGACAGTGAATGATCAGTTTGCAGCCTATAAAACAACCCAGTTTCATCCATATTGAAAACATCTTTCATAGGGAACTGATCAATTTTCTCCCGAATCGATACCAATTCCTGCTCCATGTCTTGTACATCAACATACCCACTCTCTCTAAAATGACGAAATGACTTTATGATATGTCAGTGCTTGAATTTCCCAAGCCACCCTATAGAGAAGTTAAAATCTGAATCATAATGAGGATACACGACTTTCATTGTATCTCTTGCCTTCTGCAAAATTAATTCTCCTGTGATATTCATACGTTCTTGATGTTGGAGAAACCACTCATAAACAACCTTCTCCATATCAGGATATTTTACTGGTTTGTGTCTTTTGATCTCTGCTCTTCCCTTTTCTATTTCAGCAGAGAGATAGTCATCTGACCGCTTAAGTGTGTTTGATATTGTTCCTTGACTAACTTTCAATTGAAATTTTGCCTCAAGCCATCTCTGCAAGTCTTTTTGTGTGCTTGCAAGATTATGTCTCTTGTACTCACACAACTCTTTACGTATTTGATCTGACATAGTTGATTTTGCAATGCATATGAACACAATAGTTACTAATTTACGTTGAGTCCCAAGATTCGCTGCAACGTAATTCTAAGAGGCATAGACTAATTTGCCTTTTTATTTGATATGTACAGTATAATTACTTAAAAACTCTTTAAAT